TACATAGGAGGCAATAAACTAATTTATAAAATCTATTCTGCTCTTAACTTTACTTAATTGGTAAATATTGTGGGCTTGACAGTCATAAATCTATGAACTGAAGTTTTTTTTTCTTTTTCAAAAAAATATGTTTTTATCAATTTTTAGAGTGAGAGGAAGGGGGAGAAATAGAGAGACAGGTACATTGATCAGAGAGAAACATTATTGTTAAGCTGCTGCCTGCATATCCTGATGGGAGATTAAGCCCAAAACCCAGGCATGTGGCTTGACTGGGAATTGAACCAGTGACCTCTTGGTTCCTGGATTAATGCTCAACCACTAAGCCATACCAGCTAGGCTGAATTTTTATATTTTGGTAAATTACTTAGTTCTATGAAAGATGATTTAGCCCTTTAAAAAAACTTTTTGATTGTTTTTCGACCTTTTGGCTATGAGCAAGCGTAAAAAAATTTTTGACTCTACTAGTGATTTAATTTTTAAAGTTTTGATAGAATATATGAGCTGCTTGAAAATTTAAGGCCAAGTAAAATTTAATATCTGTTCCTACAAGGGTCAGTCTGGGAGCACTCAGTGCAGGTGATCAAGGAGACTGTACCACAAGGTCCCACAGGACACATACTACATAAAGTCATCCTACCAAGACTGGAAGTCATAGCATATCTACCTAACACATAGAAACAAACACAAAGAGGCAGCTTAAATAGGAAGACAAAGAAACATGAAAGGGTAGAAGAAATCTCCAGAAAAGGAGCTAAGTGAAATGGAAGCAAGCAAATTATCAGATATAGAGTTCAAAAGAATGATTATAAGGATGTTCAATGAACTTAGTGACAACTAAAAGAAACTTTGAGAACTACAACATGAAAAAGAGCATAGAAACTATAAAAAGAACTGATCAGAAACGAAGACTATAATATCTGAAATGAGAAATACATTAGAAGGAATCAAAAGTAGGTTGGATTAAGCAGAGAACTGATTCAGCGATTTGGAAGACAAGGTAGAAAAAAACACCCAATCAAAGCAATAAAAAGTAATTAAGAAAAAATGACAATAGCTTAAGGAACATTTGTAAGAGAGCTGACATAAGGCTGTCAGCTGATTACTCAGCAGAAACAATTCAGACCAGAAGGTATTGACATAAAATATTCAAAAATCTGAAAATTGAGGACCTATAACCAAGATTACTTTACCCAGCAAGACTATCATTTAAAAAAAATGAAGGAGAAATAAAGAGCTTCCAAGGCAAGAAAAGCTTAAGAAGTTTGTTGCCATTGAACAAGCATTACAAGAAATATTAAAGTATCTGCTTGAAGAAGAAGAAGAAGAAGAAGAAGAAGAAGAAGAAGAAGAAGAAGAAGAAGAAGAGAAGTAGGAGGAGGAGGAGGAGGAGCAGGAGAAGGATCAGGAGGAGGAGCAGGAGGAGGAGGAGGAGGAGGAGGAGGAGGAGAAGAAGAAGAAGAAGAAGAAGAAGAAAAAGAAGAAGAAGGAGGAGGAGGAGGAGGAGGAGGAGGAGGAGGAGGAGGAGAAGAAGAAGAAAATAGTTAAAAGAATGAAACGGCAATAAATCTGTACCTTTCAATAATCACTTTATATGTAAATGGCTTAAGGGTTCCAATTATAGTGCTTAGGATAGTGGAATGAATAAGAAAACAAGACTCACCTCGGAATGAAGGATACACACAGACTAAAAGTAAAGGGATAGAAAAAGATATCTCATGCAAATGTAAATGGAAAAAAAAGAGAAAAAGCTAGAGTAGTAATACTTATATCTGATAAAATAGGCCTTAAAACAAAGGGTACAGCAAGAGACAAAGGACTCTACATAGTGATAAAGGGAGTAACCCAACTAGAGGATATAACACTTGTAAACATTTATGCAACCAACATAGGAGCTCCTAAATATACAAAGCAAATCTTGATGGACATAAAGAGAGAGATTGACAGTAATACAGTCATAGTAGGGGACTTTAACATCCCAATGACATCAATGGATAGGTCTTCCAGACAAGAAAAACAAACAAACAAACAAAAAACAAGGAAACAGCAGCTTTAAATGACACCTATATCAGATGTATTCAATTGATATCTTCAGAGTATTTTATGCCAAACCAGCAGAAGGTTTGCTCTTTTCAAGTGCACGTGAAACATTTTATAGTATAGACGACCTCCTTATACTACCTTTTTATACCATATATACTAGTGGTCAGCAAACTCATTAGTCAACAGAGCCGGATATCAACAGTACAACAATTGAAATTTCTTTTGAGAGTCAAATTTTTAAAACTTAAACTATATAGGTAGGTACATTGTTATTAACTTAATTAGGGTACTCCTAAGGCTTAGGAAGAGCCACACTCAAGGGGCCAAAGAGCCGCATGTGGCTCGTGAGCCGCAGTTTGCCGACCACGGATATATACCATATATAATAAATTCAAAATTGATTAAAGACTTAAATGTTAAACTCGAAAACACAAAAATCCTAGAAGAAAACATAGGCAGTAAAATCTCAGACATTTCTTGTAACAATATTTTTTCTAATATATCTCCTTGGGCAAAGGAAATGATAGAAAAAATAAACAAATGGGACTACATCAAACTAAAATGTTTTTGCACAGCAAAATAAATCATCAGCAAAATGAAACGTTAACACACTGAATAGAAAAACATATCACCAATGATACATCTCATAAGGGGTTAATATCCAAAATTTACAAAGAACTTATACAACTCAACACCTAAACAAAACAAACAATCCATTAAAAAATGGGCAAAGCTGTCAGTCTGCTCTCTTTCTATGAGTCTGTCTCTATTTTGCTTGGTAGTTCAGTTTGCTCATTAAATTCTTCATATTAGTAAAACCATATGGTACTTGTCTTTTCCTAACTGGCTTATTTCACTTATCATAATAATGTTCTCCAGGCAGAAAGCTCTAGTGAGGGTGAGGGT